GAAGCAGAGGGAATCAGGGAGCAAAGCGGTGGGGGACAGGGGGAGGGCACAGCCGCAAATGGGGTGGCATGTCCTGGGGTGGGGGGCTGGCCTGGTGTGTGCGGCTGGTTCTCTGCTGTGCTCCTCCCACTCATGGGTCATTGGGAACGCTGAGCCAGCACCTGCAGGTGGTTCTAGAAGGTGAACAAGCTGCTATGAGGCTTGTGTCCAGGACTGCAGGAGAGGCTGCAACGGTTGCTGCGATCACAGCCTCAAGGGCTGCCCTAGTCCCCCACAGGAGTCACCACGAGAAGGTCCTCTCGAGAGGACTGGCCTCAGGAGCAGCAGATGGGGGTGGGGTGGGGGCAGGCGGGTGTTCTACTGGGGGTCGCGACATCTCCCCAGTAATCCTCTGGGCCAGACACACAGCACTGTTCCGTTCAATCTCAGAAAGAAGCTCTCAGTATTCTCCCCATTTTGCAGATGAGGAAACTGAGGCTTAGAGACATTCTGTGACTTGTTTAAGGCTTAAGTGTGTGAACCGGAATTCCACTTATTTGATCCCAGACCCCAATTCCTAACCACTTCATTTTATAACCTGCTCCTGACCTCCCCCCATCTCAGCTTCCAGGGACAGTCCAAAGCCCTGGTTTCAATATCCTTTACCCCAGAAGAAAGAATATTAACTTTCTTCCGGGGACCTGAAATGGTCTGGAGGCACGCAGATGCTAGGTGGGGGCTCCAGGCAGCTCCACAGACCCAGAAATGTAAGCCAGCCTCAGATCCTGGTGAAGGGTGTGGTTCTGGAAAAGGGTGTTACTCGTGTGTTTACTCAAAGATAGTCATTAAGTCACTGTGAAGACGTCCGTTCTGCAGACTAAACAACCCCACTCCTTTTTTAAAAGCTCTCCTCACAGGAGCTGTTTTTTGGGAACCAACGTTCTATATTTACTGGCTTCCCCCCAGGCACTCTTTGACTCTCCATCTCTTTATTTTAAACCATCCTGTAATAAGATTTTGATCCGTGTCAGAGAAAGAAAAGCGTCATTTCCATAGTCTTCATCTCAATGCCTTACCAGAATTTATAAAAGGCCAGCCTCAGTGGTAACCAGTCACTTGTGGTCCACTCTGACACTCAGCTCTTTTCCAGCCACTCTAGTGCCTGGCCAGTCTTCTGTCTACTGTTTGTTTCTGATCTTGTTGAACTTCACACTGTACAGGAGGGGCTAGTCCTCAGTCTGCTGCAGCCCTGAAGTGGTTCTAACACGCACCCGGGTCAGCCTGATTTCTTTCTGCCTCCTAGGAGAGGCGACTAGGGGCAGCCAGTACTTAGAGATCACCTTTGAGAAGTGAGAGTACCAGCAATGAAATTCCTTCTCCCCGGAGGGGCCTGCTGTCCCCCTTGGGCTGAGGTTTTGGCCACATTTGAGGTGATGCTAGAGGAGCCCCAGGATCTGAGACACAGTCCCTGAGTGCATGGGCTTACTTACTTCGAGGTTCCCTGGGTCCATCCACGGTGATTTTGATGGCTCTGTGGTAGGTGGCGACTTGTGGAGGGTTTGTGAAGACAGTGATGGTCAGGGTGAAGCTCTTCCCTGTAAGAATACAAACGAGAACAAAACAGACTGAGGTGGTGGCCTGAACAGATGTGCTGTGTGATTTTAGTTGTTAATTTATGCTCTTCAGCACTCAGACTGGAAAGGGGGCAGTGACTCAGCGCAAAGGACTGGTTTTTTCCAATCGTCCCTTGATTGGCTTTGCTTAAATACCGGTGTTTGTCTTGGTGTAGCAGCCTGGGTGGCTCAAGCGGTTTTCAACCCTC